TGCCTTTGTCCTATCTCAATAAAAGGGGCTCTCAGACCCCCAATCTGGGTCGTCGCTCCATCCCGAGAAAGCTCGTGTCCGTGTCTTTTTTCAACATTGGCCTCATGGACGAACCACGGGAACATTACAGAGCACTCTATAAGCTTCCTAAGCTCTTTTTTTTAACAAACGAGGACAGCTCAGAGGGGGGGGAAGGGGCAGCTCCCTTACCAGCTGCCCTGAAGACAACCACAGGTAGCCTTTGGGTTGTGGCTGTAATAGTGCCTGGCCCCAAGGCTTTTAAAATGGGGCACACCAAGTGACCGGCCCCGATTTTACAACCTTTTTTTTGCAATGGTCCTTAAGCGAACTCATTGCCAGAAATTGGAATTGTAAAGAAGTTTCCAACAAAAAAAATCCTGCACGATTGCAATCGTGCAACCACGAGTCCCGGCAAACAGCCATAAATATGGGTCAGTTGTCAAAGCGCTCGAACTGTGGCCATGTGACTGCAGAGGTTTGTGTCTGTGTGTTGTCAGAACTTTGAAACTGGATAAAACATTTGGGGGGGTGGGGTTCTGTTATAACTTTGTGACCAGTTGTAAGTCGAGGACTACCAAAGACAGAAGACTGGCTATCCTACAGCAGGCCTGGGAGTCCATTATACTTTAGGGAGATTGGGGGGGGGGGGGCAAACCGGGCTGGCGAGTGTAAAAACCCGGAGCAGGGAGAGTACCCGCGGATCCGGACGAAACTCTCGTTTCCTTCGTATCTTCTTGAATATTTCCGTCAGCTCGTCCTTGGGCTCCTCCGCTGAGCTGGCCCCGTTGACCGCCTGGGGGACGGCAGACCCCGCTTCTTCGGCTGCGCTTTCCATGGGGGCGTGGCCCGGCATGGGGGCGTCAACAGTGGGGTCATCGGCGTGCTCAATGAGCCACTCCATGGCCTGAGTCACGGACATGCTGCAGAACGAAGGACACGTGTCAACACGTGAAACACAGAATCATAGATAATATATAATAGGAATATAAGGTTAAGGTAACGGTTCCCCTTGCACACATATGCTAGTCGTTCCCGACTCTAGGGGGCAATGGTGCTCATCTCCCTTTCAAAGCCGAAGAGCCAGCGCTGTCCGAAGACATCTCTGTGGTCATGTGGCCGGCATGACTCAACACTGAAGGCGCACTAACGCTGTTCCCTTCCCACCAAAGGTGGTTCCTATTTTTCTACTTGCATTGTTTTACGTGCTTTTGAACTGCTAGGGTGGCAGGGACGAGTCATGGGAGCTCACTCCATTACGTGGCGCTAGGGATTTGAACTGCCGACCTTTCTGATCGACCAACTCAGCATCTTAACTCCTGAGCCACGGCGTCCTGATAGGACTACGTATAATAGGAACATAATGAGTAACAATATGCACCAAAGGCTAATTCCTTGTGTGTCCAGTCACACTTGGCCGATAAAGAATTCTATTCCTATTCTTATTCCTATTCTCTTCTATTCCGAAGGGACCTTGGAGGTCTTCTAGACCAGCGTTTCTCAACCTTGGCCACTTGAAGATGTCCGGACTTCAACTCCCAGAATTCCCCAGCA